TTAGTTTGGGGGGGGGGGGTTTGCAGTTTTTGGCCAGAACTGGATTTGAACCTGCCACCTCTGGCATATGGGGCTGGTGCCCTACTCCTGTGAGCCACAGGCACTGCGTGATCCTACTCAGTTCTTTCATCACACTCTGTTTTTCCTATTGGAAAGTGGGAACAAATGGTATAGATAGGCCATTTGCTACTTTCTGCTACCACTCAAATGAACCATAGTTTAAAAACAAAAACAACTTGGAAGATTCTGCTGTAGGTGTCCCATTTCTAGTGGTTAGAATAAGTGGCTTTTTAAAATTCAGTGTTATAAATATATCTACTTTCTGGCCTCCAGAAGCTACTTTAGGCAACAATAGAGGATAACTGTAGTATTACCGTTTTCAGCTGTTTAAGAAATTTCTTCTGTAAACCTAGGTCTTCTCAACTCCACACTCCTTCCACTTCACTAGTTGTTTTGTGGTAAGTACATCATTTCACACGTTTCATGGAACTAGAAAGTGGCTTTGAAGGTGATATAGTCTAGTGGTTTTAAACTTTTCTGACTGTAACCCACAGCAAAAAGAACAACTTTGCATCCCATTGTACACATTTCACTGATTTGGAACACAGGGAGTTCTTCTCTTGTTTATGCAGCCCACTAAATTGATACTGCAACTGGTGGTTTGAAAAGCAAGGAAGATTGATTCCATTCTTTTTCTGTCCCAGTTCTCTCCCCAAAGCAGCAGACCTCCCCTTCCTAATTACTAAAGTTGGAGTATAGTCTCTGGAGAGACTCTCTCTTGGAGACTATAGCTGTGAAAGTGGTTAGTGCTATCCTGGTTTTTGGCTTCTAAACTGTGTGGTCCAGGCTTCTGCCCATAGATTACCTTGAATACAGCTTACCATTTGCTTGTATCTGCAACTGTAAGAAAACAAGTGTTCTTACATTTTAGAATTACAAAACCTTGTTCAACTTTGAGATAATGAACTCATTTACCCTGCTGTTTACGTATCGGAATTCCCCCCTTATAGGTAGGGCATACATTACCAAGACCTTCAGTAGATTCCTGAAAACCCCAGATAGTACTGAACCCTGTATAAACAGTACTACATTTTTTCAAATACATACATATCTGTAATAAAGTTTATAAATAAGATGGAGTAAGAGACTAGTAATAATAACTCAGAATAGAAAAGTTATGTAACAGGTGTACTGTAATAAGTTACATGAATGGTGGTCTGTCTGTCACCTATTTTTGGACTGCAGTTGACTATGAATAACTAAAACATGGAAACCAAAATTGGCTGTGGGGACTATAAAATAATCTCAGGACTAGCCAGAAGTCTATCTAATTAATATGCCAAGACTAATACAGATGTATTATTTCTTTATATCTGATTTGTTTTTCTTTTATAATTTAGTCATTTCTTTGAAAAGGTAATTTGTGTGGCTCAAAATTTATTGAAAATAAGAATATACATCTCCCTCTTCCCCTGCTCCCCAGGTCAACCAGTTTTATGAGTACATAGTATTCCATTATAGACCTTTGCCAGACTCAAGGTAATCTAAACATATGTGGTAAAATACAGAGGTCATTTTTTAGTTGAGCAAGTATTTCTATAGTATCAATTCTGCAAGTGGGATTGGAGGGGAATGGGGTATATGCATTTATAATTTGATAAATATTGCAAACTATCCTCATTAGCCAAATATTGAGCTCTTAACTGGCATTGTTACAAAGTTTTTGATATTTCACTATCTTTTAATGGACATTTCCATCTATAAAACCATGTGTATATTCTGCAAACTGTTTCTTTTTACCTATTTTTTCTGTTGGGCTTTTTGTGATTTGATTTATAGGTGAGGAATATAAAAGGGAAATTAGCCATTTGTGAGATGAGTTACATTTTAGTTTTTTATTTTGTTTTTGGTGGCTTTTACCATGCCACAATTAAAAACAAAAATACAGTCTAATGTATCAGTATGTTCATGGCTTCTGGGCTTCATGTCACTCTGGGAATCTATAAATTATATGATTTTTTAAAAGTATCTTTGAATTTTCAAGTAGAAACCCAGTCTAAAATATTTAAGATTTTTACCTCGTGCAGAAAATTATAAAACGTTTTTCTTCTTTAGTTTGTGTCACCTTTTTAGTACTCCACCTATTCGTATAGTCCCCAACTTTAGAATGTATTCATATTCCAGAAATCATGTATGTGTTGTTTGGAACTCAGGGTATGTGTTTCTTTCTTTTTTTTTTTTTTTTTTTTTGTTTTGCAGTTTTGGCCGTGGCCAGGCTTGAACCCGCCACCCCATTATGGGCTGGCACCCTACTCCTTGAGCCACAGGCACCGCCCACAGGGTATGTGTTTCTTTAGAAACAATGATGAGGTTTCCTGTGGTCCTAATCTGAATTGAGGGTATATTAAAACTTACCAATTTAAAGGCGAGAAGAAACACTTCTGTTTTAATTGGCAGTGGTTTAACAGGGGCTTGGCCTTTCTTTATTCTCATTACCTTTTTTCTCTTAAGTGTAAAACCGAATAATAAGCCCAGGACCCTTTTGGGTAGAGTAGGCCTGTCTTTCCCCCCATCTTAGAAGTGATCCAGGTTTAAAACACTTCTCTCTGTCTCATGAGGCATGTACTAAATACCTATTAGTACCTCCCATAGGACAGATAGTGTTCTGTGAACCTTTAAGCATATTTCCTTAGTTAATAATGCACATCTACAGAAGATATTCTACTAACGGTATGACTGACAGTTGTTTATTGTCTCATAAAAAATGTAGAGAGGTTTAAGTTACTTTTCTCATGGCCCATACTAGTAAGAGTTGAAAGGGACCAACACTAGACCCTTCAGCTAATTCTCCTCTTGTCCTTAATAGAAAGTGGCTGGTGTTTTTCTGCAGGATGATCAGGACTGCCTGTTGTAAGGAAATGTGATCATAGCAGACTGCCTTATCAAGTTGTAGCCCAATGTAAATTTATGTATTCAAATAATAATAACTCCCCAGAGTATAGAACATCACCAGCTATGTGTTCATACACCCCTTTCAATCGTTCAGGCATCTGTCAGTCACATATCAGCCAATGAAAAGTGATTGTAATTCTTGGTCCCACTATGCTGAATAAGGGAATCTCCTAGACATTTAGCCTGTATAAATGGCAAATAGATAAGAAAGTATTGTTGCTCTGGTCTTCAGATTCCTTTTCTATGGTGGAACAAAAACAGATGCAGATTGAGCATCCCAAATCTAAAAATTGAAATGCTCCTAAATCAGATTTTTGCTCAGGAAAATGCTCATTGGAGCATTTCAGATTTTCTGATTGCAGGTGCTTGTCTAGCAAATATAACACAAATATTCCAAAATCCAAAACACTCTGTTCCCAGGCATTTTGGAGAAGGGATACTCAACCTGTATTGACAGCCACCTATACTTTGGGAATGCTTAGGAAGGGTACATGGGAGAGGATGAGGCATCTAAACTAAAACCTGAAAGCAGGAGTTAAGCAAGTACATTGTTAATATATTAGGGACAAAAAGGAAGGAAGAGTTTAAGAAAAAGACCTACTCAAATTGTGACACTTCTCTTCCGTAGTACCTAGTTTCTTTCTTTAAAGGAATGAAGAATAGCATGAGCCATTCATGAGAACAAACCCACTGTGGCAAAGTTCCAGTTTGCATCTTTGGAGAGTATAACCTGAGAGTTGTGTGCCTTAGTTGTACTTGTGGCCTTTTAGGCTCCCATTTAAAGCCCTCTAATCTTACACATTTGGTGCTGGTAATCGAAGAAAGTTGGGTATTATGAAAAGTTACGCTTATGTGTCTTGGATGTTCTATTGTAACTTAAATATACTTAGGATTTGGGGCCAAGGCCTTTTATTTGAGTGTATTCATAGTCCTTCAATAAAACGTAAAAATCACATTGAACCCCAGTGTTCCATAACAGGTCTTTTTCTCTCAGGTAGAGCAAGAACTTTTCAGTGAGCCCAGAATCATTCTTTCTATCTGAGCCTTGTACAGGTGTTTTCACCCATACATCATTCAACAGCAGCTTTTTTTCCTTATGACTCATCTTATTGACATTTCAAAAACAAGTAAATTTTGATAGAACTAAAGTGTTTTTTGCATTTATATTTCACTGGCTTATATAATAATTTAGTTAATAGCTCCAGGACACCTAGCAGAAAAAAATGAGAATAAACAACCATTCACTCATAATAATCCTACAATTCAACTAGTGGGAGCACAAGGGATGACCTGTGAGCCTGAGCACTCAGTTTGTTGTTATCAGTTGAGTCTGACCGAAGAAAGAGTAAAGTTTCATTAAAGTGGTGAGGCAACTAAGTGGAAGTCAGTTTAGAAACTTTTGTTGTGTTGTGTGAAAACTGAGTTTCTGGACTAGCAAAAAAGACGATAGATTTTGAAGTCAGACGGGATTTAACTCTGGTTCTGCTGCTTACTGGCTTTGTGAACTTTGGCAAGTTAATAGTTTTCTGGATAGCCTAAGTATCTTTATAAAGAGTGTAACAGTCTGGTTCTTAGAGTTATTATGTAGATTAAGAATAAATACTAACTGTTTTGCATGTACATTAATGTTTTTCTTTGCCACCAATTCCTTGTATAGTAAATTATTAGTGTTCTGAAAATCAAACCCACTCACAGCGTAGCTTTCTGGTATAGGCTACTTTATGCATCATTTGCAGCATCTAATAACAAGGGTAAGAAAATGATAGGCCTGACTTGCGTTTAAGACCTCCCAGAGGTACCATCTCTTTGCAAAAATGAAAGATCACCGGACAGGAAAACCTCTGGATCCTAGAAGCATTAGTGGGATTAGGACTTTTATCATCTTGTGATTAGTTTGTATGATAAAAAGCAGACTTTAAAACTCAATAAAATACAGTGAAATTGCCCAGTAACCAGACATTTAGCTTCAAAGGTACTTTCTGTGATTTGTCTTTGTAAATACCATTGAAGGAGATATTGGTTCTTATGAAATGTTTTCTTTCTAACAGGTTGTAAAATTAAAGCACTGAGAGCCAAGACAAACACGTATATCAAGACACCTGTCCGTGGTGAAGAGCCCATTTTTGTCGTCACTGGACGGAAAGAAGATGTTGCCATGGCCAAAAGAGAAATCCTCTCAGCTGCAGAGCACTTCTCCATGATTCGTGCATCTCGAAACAAAAATGGCCCCGCCCTGGGAGGATTGTCATGTAGTCCTAATCTGCCGGGTCAAACCACTGTCCAAGTCAGGGTCCCCTATCGTGTGGTAGGATTAGTGGTTGGACCCAAAGGAGCAACAATTAAAAGAATTCAGCAGCAGACCCACACATATATAGTAACTCCAAGCAGAGATAAGGAGCCTGTCTTTGAAGTGACTGGGATGCCAGAAAATGTTGACCGAGCACGGGAAGAAATAGAAATGCACATTGCCATGCGTACGGGAAACTACATAGAGCTCAATGAAGAGAATGATTTCCATTACAATGGTACAGATGTAAGCTTTGAAGGTGGCACTCTGGGCTCTGCATGGCTCTCCTCCAATCCAGTTCCTCCTAGCCGCGCAAGAATGATATCTAATTATCGAAATGATAGTTCCAGTTCTCTAGGAAGTGGTTCCACAGATTCCTACTTTGGAAGCAATAGGCTGGCTGACTTTAGCCCAACAAGCCCATTTAGTACAGGAAACTTTTGGTTTGGAGATACACTACCATCTGTAGCCTCAGAAGATCTTGCAGTTGACTCTCCTGCCTTTGACTCTTTACCAACATCCGCTCAAACTATCTGGACTCCATTTGAACCAGTTAACCCACTTTCTGGCTTTGGGAGTGATCCCTCTGGTAACATGAAGACTCAGCGCAGAGGAAGTCAGCCATCTACTCCTCGTCTGTCTCCTACATTTCCTGAGAGCATAGAACACCCACTTGCTCGGAGGGTTAGGAGCGACCCACCTAGTACAGGCAACCATGTTGGCCTTCCAATATACATCCCTGCTTTTTCTAATGGTACCAATAGTTACTCCTCTTCCAATGGTGGTTCCACCTCTAGCTCACCTCCAGAATCGAGACGGAAGCACGACTGTGTGATCTGCTTTGAGAATGAAGTTATTGCTGCCCTAGTTCCATGTGGCCACAACCTCTTCTGCATGGAATGTGCCAACAAGATCTGTGAAAAGAGAACGCCATCATGTCCAGTTTGCCAGACAGCTGTTACTCAGGCAATCCAAATTCACTCTTAACTATATATATATACATAAATACTATATCTCTATATGGACTCGTAAAGGCATGGGTATAATGGTACCCCCCAGTAAACTTCCTAATGAATTCTTATGACTGTTATCAGGCTTTATTGGGATTAGGCTAAAGTTGTTAGTAAACTTATAAAAGGCTGCTATGGTAACACTAAACCTAAGTGGTCTCTTGTCTATTAGTTTGGTTTGAATTATTAATACTATCCTGTAGACCCAGAGACATAGCTTATCTAAGAATTGCTAAAGCTGAAGTTCACCTTGGCTGAGTGAAGATAATCATAGGTTGTGTGAGCCTATGAGAAAGTGTACACGTCTAAGATTTCAAAACAGTGGGTCCCAAAGCCTAACCACATTAAGAGTTTATGGAGGGTACTTGGCATTACAGATGATTCAGACACTTCCAGTGCTGCCTTCTTTACACTGCCAGTTTTGACAAAACAGGTTTGTTTGTTTTTTATTTTACAACAACTTATGCCTAATTCTGCAGGATTGCAAGTAACTTTTTAATGCATTGTGATTACTTATTGGTAATAATAGGGCTGATGGCAGTTTACTAGATCACTGATTATAATTTGGGACAAAACTGCTGCATTGACCTTCATCTCGCCCAGAGGGCTCAAGGCTGGTATGATCAATGGATCAGGAATGCAATTGTGAAATCCCACCAGTTGCCTCCCTTGGTGAATGTGGAAATGGCCACCTGGGTTTTCCCATATCAGGAAGGGGTTTGGGATGGCACCTATATCGGCTAATAATTGAGGATGTGAACATTCCATTCACTAGTCTGATCAAACTGTTAATTTTTAGACTATAGATCAAAATGTGAAACATTTTATGTTTAATCCATATTTGTCTTGCACATTATAAATATATTTTTATTTTGTAGTAATTTTAGGGGAGGGGGCGGGAGAAAGGGATACTAATGCCCTTGGCATAATTCACAAAAGCAGCTGTCTATGACAACCTCCAATCAGTTTACTTCATTTCAAAACTATTTCCAATCACAAGGAAAGAGTTCTTTAAAATACACTTGTACATTTCACCTACGGATGTCTATTACTCATCCTCAGTATGTTCCCAAATCTGTGCTGGCATTGAAAGGACAAAACATTGTACTAGTGGGTTTTTCTACTAATTATTTTTTGAAGCATTATTTTCCCAACACAAAAGAACTTTTTTTTCTCGGTATAACAAAAATTGAAATCCTGTATGTATTCAATAGTAAATAGACAGATTTTATTTTTTATTTCCACTTGAAGAGTTACATTTCGTATAAAAGTTTACAAATAACGGTTTTTATTTTGATTTTTCAGTATAAAAGAAAATTGCCTTGATGGCATATTATGATGTAATGCTAATTGCTTGTAGGATAGTTAAATGTCAGTATTGAAACCTAATCTCTAGCTGCCGTCTTGTAGATATGAACGAATGTTCACCGAGCATGTATTTTGTATTTTGTTGCATTGTACACTGCAACTAATAAGCCAAGGAATCGACATATATTAGGTGCGTGTACTGTTTCTAAAAACCACAAACTAAGAATGATAAATTATCAATATAGTTTAGTATTTGCTAATTTTACTACACTCTTTTGTTATGTATATGTAGGGAAGTCATAGGGATTATAAATTCAATTTGAGTAAAGTTTAAAACCATATATTTTATGATAAAGGGCCTTTAACTTAAGATGGCCAAAGCACTGATATTATATATTTGCTGTAAAGAGAATTATAAGAGTTTTATTTTTCTGATATTAAAAGTTACTTAATAAAGACTTGTTTCCATTAACTTGAATGTATTCTCCTTGGTGTCTTTCATATAATCATAGCATTTTTAAACTAGAATATGGCTACTTAAGAATTGAAACTTTCCTTTTACAAACTTCACCCAGTCACCAACCAGCTACCTGTGCTCTTGTGGTGATTTTTTTTTAAGGTATATTCTTTGGTGTTAAATGTGTCACTCATGTTCCTGTTCAAATTTAGTTTTTTCTTTAGATGAGTGTTAAATTATAGTAAATCGAAAATTTAGCTGTCTTTAGATGATTTGGTTGCATAGTTGTATAGTTGACCACAAATAACCTCTACTGATCTAACTGTAAATGAAGTAGCAAATGGCGTTTTTATACATTAATGTTAATTGAAATCCTGAATTCAACTTAGATTCTACTCAGTTTGTATCATTTGTTTATATATTTTTATCTTTTTATCACAAAATTGATAAAAGTGATTTTTTTCTAATATGAAAGTACAAGTTTAACTACCTTCTGAAAGGTTTTGTCTTTGACAAAAATATCACCCCATTTGTGAAATTGATTTGATACCAGCTGGAGTAAATTGTTGCTATTTTGTCAAAAAGCAAGAATAAAGACATTTCTAAGATCATTTTAAAGAAACTAAAATTCTACTCCTAATCCTTTAAAGTATCACAGTCATAGTTAAGTCCTCATTGCAAATTTTGGGCAAATTTTTAGGCTAATGGGCAAGATTGTTGCCCTAGAATTACTTCAAAAACTATTTTGCAATTTTAGGATTAACCTTCCAAAGTAATAAAAGTTAAAATGGGTATGTTATAGTATTTGTACATCTCCAGTTTAGATCGGGTGGCCTATGAAATGAATTAACTTTTACCTAATACAAAATCAAGATCTTTTAAGGGACCTTGAAAATAATCTACTTCAGAGGCTTTGCTTGCTAGAATAAGCCAAAACTTTGTCTGGAACTGATGTTAGCAAAACTGACATCCTAGTTCCAAGTCTGGATCTGCCTTTCCTTGCATACCTCTGTCAGTTTTCTTGCTTATTGAAGTTTTGAGGAAGAGAAGCCCAGGAACTGTGTGGATCCCTGTTAACAGGAAATTGCTGCACCATACTGGATAATGTGAATCAAAGACCAGGCAAACCTGTTGAGAAGGGCTTTACATTATTTTCACAAGCTGAGAGGTAGATGCTAAAACTGAAAATATTAGGCTTCATTAGCAGCTTAGTTACTGTAATGTTAATGTAATTCTTCCTATAAAGGATTTTAACGAAAGAATCCCTTTGTGAATTAGATTTTTAGCAAGAATGAAAAAGGTTTAAATACTTTAGAAAGTAGGTGTAGAATAGGTGTGATAAATGTGTTATTACAGATTATTTTCTTCATTGGGTCTGTTAGTGAAAAACCAGACATTGGTTGTCCATCTGCCACCTGCCTCTCCTCCTAAATTTGTACTTTTCTTAATCTAAAACTTTATAAATAATGGCAGTTGTAGATTTTTTTTTTTTTGAGACAGAGTCTCAGTACGTCACCCTCGGTAGAGTGCTGTAGCATCATAGCTCACAGCAACCTCCAACTCTTGGGCTTAAGCTATCTTGCCTCAGCCTCCCAAGTAGCTGGAACTACAGGCATCTGCCTCAAGGCCCATCTATTTTTTGTTGCTGTTGTCATTGTTTAGCTGGCCTAGGCTGGGTTCGAACCTGCCAGTCCCCATGTATGTGGCCAGCACCCTGAACCACTGAGCTACAGGTGCCTAGGTGGAGTTGTGGATGTTTGTAATACATCTACTGTGGACATCTTTTCAATGTCACTATACTTATAACAATTTGATGGTAGCAGTAATCTATTTTATGGCTGTTTTATAACTTAACCATTTGCTATTAGTGATTAAATGAAGTATCTATGGGCATTGAAACATGAAATATAGGAAAGGACATAGAGAATCTTCAGGAGGTGATTCCATTTAATAAAGATTTAGAATAGCTATTCTCTTTGAAGTGGCATACCTTCCCACTTCTGCATCTCAAAAAAATTATTCCTGCAGGTTTTTTCAGCTGATCACAAGGAATAATGGAAAATTGTGAGAGACTTTCCTGCCACAGATAGTCTGCCGCCTCCATACTAGTTTGTCTGCTTGTACATTTTAAGCAGTGCAGAGGACTTCTATAGGGAGGATAAGTGATTTGATATTTCAAGTAGTAAATGGAGTTCATTGATCAGAGATGGATAGTAGTACGGAAAAAAGACAGCTAAAGAGAAATCACATTTTAGTCTCAAAGAGTATGTACATAAATAACCTTTTAAGTATGGAATTTCTAAAAAGGAACTACAATATTCAACTCAGTATACAAGAAGCAAATTGAAAAGAACTGCCTTTTTTTTTTTTTTTTTGAGACAGAGCCTTAAGCTGTCCCCCTGGGTAGAGTG